GAAAGACAGCATGATCAAAGGGACATGAAAAAAGAACTTACCACTTGGGTGCACCCCCTCTGCCAAAGAGCCCTGATCCAAAACCCCAGCTGACTTTCCCCATTAGACCCTTTAGCAAACTGCACGCTGGCATCTCCGCAGACCCTCAAGGAGAGAGGCACCAAGCTACTCTGTGCCCAGGTGATGGAAACTGGACTTTGTCTTCAGTAGTGCAGAGCATCAGAAACTTACTGGATTGGGCAGTTCTGGCTTCAATCGTGGGGGTGTAGACTCCTACCCCGAGCTCTGAGCGGGCACCCAGACGAAACTTATACAGCGTGTCTGGTTTGAGACCTTCCACAGCATACGAGGAGGTTGGGTCAAATTCCACCTTTTGCTGGCAAAAGGAAACACAGATTATTTGGTGTAGTTGGAGAATACAGAGAAGCTGGCACTCAGCTCCCAGTGCCAGGGGAATAAGCAGCCCCATCACCCATGCTGGTCCCACAGAAGGTCACATCCATGCTGACAAACCTGCTGCAGTCCTGCAGGACTCGGAGGCATGGAGCTTTGTGGGTGAAATACAAGGACTCTGCAGGGAAGCAGACCTCTCTGACAGCCAGGCCACACTGCCCAGTGTCCAGACTGCACTCACTGCTTGACAGCTTTGGGGGAATGCTGGGTCTAGCTATACAGTTCAGACAAGGGGCGCAGGACACATGAGGTTTTTTCCTCCCAACAGACAGTGTCTGCCTGTGAAACAGAGTAAAGCCCTTGTCCTGAAGTAGTTGGCATCTCTAATGCACCTAAACAGGGCTGATAAAGGACTTGTTTGGCTGCCACTTGACCTGGAGGGCACTTATTTCTGGCAGCTCTCATGCCACTATAAATAAAGGAGAAGGAGAGGTCTATGGGACACTCCTGCCATAGCACAGTCCTCACAGTGCTGCCCTGAAGCCAGCACTACTTTTGACATATTTAGAGCTGGACTTCTTTTAGGGACCTGACAGGAAAGGTGGAAGGGCTCTCTTCTAGGACACCCTCAATCTGCTCCTTAAGTGTCACCTGTCCTGGAGCTGCAGACATATTTTGGAGGCCATTTCACACCCACCTGGATGTGAACAGGATGTGCCTTACTGGCCTGCACATCTGTTTAAAAGCACCAGAGCCTTTCCAGTCCTAAACCAGTCACTAGCTATTTTGCTGGGCAGCAACAAGCACCGCTAAGGTCACCTACACAGAAACCAGACAGAGATTGTCATACTGCTATCACACACCCATGAAACAGAAGAAACATGGAGAAGAAAACAGCCCCTTTGCCTCCCCATCTCAGACACTCTTCCCACGCTGCTGAATTGTGATGTCCAGCCCCAAGTGCTGCTGACGCAGAGCCAGGATCCTCACCTGAGTGCCATCCTCCCCTTCCCAATACAGCAGCTCGTATTTGGTAATGCGTTCCTGAGAGGCAGGGAGCCATGTCAGCAGGATGCGGGTATCAGACTCTGCTTCTGCCTGGAAGTCAGCTGGTTGGGCAGGAACTGGGGACCAAACACATGGTTAGTGTCAGAAAGCATGACATCTGCTGCACGGCCTTGCAGAGTCTGTGTTTCGCCTTTTGAGGATCCTCTTTCATTCCTTCTGGACCCTCCCCCTTCTTCCCTCTCCCCTGTACTGTGCTCCTGACAAGCACCTCTGGGACCCAGGCAGGTGGCTATGGGAAGTGAGCTCGCTTCCAGGCCCTGACTGCATCCCAGCTCCTTCCTCCCACGTGTGTACTCACACCCCAGAAGGGCCCAGCACAGTTGCACAGGTTCATGCCCAGGACCTCATGTCACATTTTCAGCCACCGTATCCCAGACAACACCGTGGGCTGTGCTGCCTGTACAGAGATTGGCACCAGCTCCCCAGGAGACAGCGGCGGGGTGGGGACGCCGCTCCGCCACGCAACACTGGAGCACCGAGTGCAGATCAGACACACCGCTGAGCTGCACACCACCGGCGTGGACACCAAGCTGCAGCACCTCGCTCCATACGTACCCCCTTGCTGCGTTTTGACCTGGATGATGTCCGAGGGGGGCCCGTCGCCCACCGAAGTAAAGGCCAGGACGCGGATGCTGTAGGTGGTCCCCGTGATGAGGCTCCCCACGGTGGTGAGGTGGCTGTCATCGGTGTTGTGTTTCTGCCACATGCTCAGAGGCAGATGCGAGTCGGTGGTATAGTAGACGCGGTACCCTCTGATCTGTCCGTTTGGCTCCTCTGGCTGCTCCCACTGGACCAACATGGTGCTGGCGCTCAGCATCCGGGCCTGGACCTTGAGGGGTGGACTTGAAGGAGCTTGCTCTCCTGTCCGGGCCTCGACCAGCTCACTGGGGGGCCCCCTGCCAATGTTATTGACTGCAATGACCCGGAACTCATACTCCGAGAAGGGGCTGAGCCCACCTATGCTATAGCGGGTTGTTGCCACACCATCTACCTCCTGGAACTGACCCTCCAAGGATTTGGGCTTGTACTGGATGACGTAATAGGAAATGGGGTCGGAGTTGCCTGAATCCCAGGTGAGGGTCACGCTGGTAGCTGTCGTTTCAGTCACTAATGGCTCCGTTGGAGGTTTTGGCAGTGCTGCAATTGGAAGGCAGAGAGGTGTGATTTAAATAATTCAGTCAGCTCAAACCCTGCAATGTGCACGGGGATAAAAATGGAGCTGCCACCTCCCATTAACATTCTTCTTTAAAAGGCAGAAATCATTTCATACTCTAGAACATGCATTTTTATATTACCATATATTGCTTGAAGTGGTTCTTAATGGAAGGATAAACAGAGCAATCATGTTATTAGACGTGCTTGACGCACTTACCAGCAGCAGGCTAAATAAAGGTAATTCAACAGGGATGCAGGAATGTTTCTGTCATGGGGGTTCAGCTGGCAGTGGGAAGGTGCTTGCTGGGCTGGGCTGGCCCCAGAAGCCAGGTGTACAGCTGATTTACAGGGGGATACAGTAAAGCAAACAGAGCACCACAGGTCAGCTGGAGCTATGCTCCCGCTTCCACAGAGACAGCATCTTAGGCCATAGGGAATTCATGGACAGTGCTGTTAGATGGGTTGATGGGGGAATGCCTTGTAAGTATTACAGTACATGCAGGAGGGATACAGCCAGAGAAATTACCAACTTTCACATCCACTATTTCACTGGGTGGTGTGTCAAACTGCAACCAGACAATAAACTGTTACACAAGAACTCTGTGACACTGACATCTCTGAAGTGTTAATGAGAACGCAACTACTGCAAGCAAACATTTCCAGCTTTGCCATTTTACCAAAAGAACAAAGAAAGAGAATGAATGCGTGTGAGAGACTTGCAGAGTACACAAATACTTTAAGACAATGACTGAATTAAAGTCTACAGTAAGTTTAAACCTCCTACGAGCCACTCTAGTTAAAGTCATTAGTGACTTGTAATGCAGCTGCGCTTGATGAGGAACTAGGAAAAATGCTCAGCTCAAATTAAGATCCTCAAGTACTTCATCCTTTGGCAAAGCCATCAGGTTTCCAGTTTCCACATGGCTCAGCTGAGGAGGGCAGGCTCTTTAGCACAGGAGCGTGCCTGCTCCGAGTGCCAGGGAGGACGCCTTTTCCAGTGCTACTGCAACATGAACGCTGAGAAAATCGTCGAGGCCTGAACTGGCATGGAAGAGAAGGGTATACAACCCACAACCAGACACCGCACTGCTACCCGTGGAAGTCTCAGGGAAGGCAAATGCATCCTGCCCAGTATTACGGCCTGAAGCAACACGTTTCCTAGAGCATCCAAGAAATTGGCAGCCTCTCTCAGGTTTACAAGGAGAGATGACACTCATCCATCCTTTCCTTCGGAGAGCCGTGCAGCCTGCACGTGAGCAAGGGCAGGCCTAGTACCTTACTGCAATCAGGTCACGTCATCTTGCTTCCCCTGTCTGCCCTGCAAATGGTTTACTTTCCAGCAGGCACAGGAGAAGCAACCTGGGTGAAGGAGCTAGGGACAGAGGCAGTAAGATATCCAGAGTGAAGTTGCAGAAAAGACAGAAACAAGAAGGAAGGCAAAGGGCTAAAGGAGCTGAGCACACCGCTCCCTGCCCTGGGAGCTTCTGCAGTCCTGGTCATCCCACCAGCCAAAGAGGAAGCGAGGCAGTCAAGCCATGTACAAAGAAACAAATACTGGGACCCATCAGTGCAACAGTGCAGATCCCACCCCCTCCCTCCACACCCAAATCACCTCCCCATCGTGCTGCTTTCTTTCTGTATGCTCTTGGGTACGTACTATAACCAAGGCAACCCCTGTGCTCTGTAAGAAAACGGGGGCTGGAAAAGGTACCGCCTAGCAGGCATTGTGAGTAAAGGGAGCGGTGTGCAGCTAAAGTTAAAAGCATTCTCTGACTAGCACCAGGGAAAAGAGAATTTGCTGTTAATCTCCAGGTCAGAGAGGGCTAACACTCAATTCTGTGATTTGCTCAAGCAGGGACTCGGTGCTCAAGATGGCCACAGCGCAGGAGGGGACCTGCAAGAACAGACAGTCTCAAAAGATGACCTATCTGTGGAAATCCGAGCTGCAGATCAACTGCAAGGAGAGGCCAGGGATAGTGTGGGCCTGCTTGGCCCAGGATGGGAAAGGCAGGACATGTACTCCTGTTAGGGAGCTGTCTGGGTGGGCTACCCTGTACCCAGTGGTTAGCAGTTGGCAATAATGTTTTCTTCGGGGCAAAGCTACCCGTGAATCAACAGCAGGAGGCACACTTCAAGGACAGCAACAAATAAAGAGGCAAGGGGAAAAAGAAAATTGACAGGAATACACAACAATTTTACAATGAATAGGTATAACTCTTCCCTGCAGAGGAGGAGGAGGCTCATTCTGGCGAGGCCCACAGACACTTCACACTGCTGGGCTTAACCTTCTTGTCCTGCCTTTACTGGCAGAGGACATCTCTGTGCAAAGAGCTGCAGACATCCACAGACCCCTGCCCCAGGACAGCCCGTGGCCCGCTGCTGTGCTGAGCTGATCCTGCTGGTGCATATGGAGCAAGCCAGACATTGCCGGAATGAGCACAGACTCGGTGAGGGTCCCTCGGGGCACAACAGGGACCCAGCCTGACACAAACCCGCCTCCCATCATACCGCGTGTAGGGGGAGAGGAAATGACCTCTAAGGCAAATACTGTACTATAAGCAGGGAAAAAACCCAAGCTGAGGGTTTGGGAACCTCCCTTGCCAGGTGGAAATGTCACAGGAGACTGCAGTCAGTTGGCCGCACCCAGGAACACTTGGGCAAAGGGCTACACCACAGAACATCAAGCAGGAGCACCGTGAGGAACAGTTCCTTACCTTTGACAGTGATCTGGGCTGTGGCTTCGATCATGCCGAGGGAGGAGATGGCCACGCAGGTGTAGTTGGCAGACTGCACGATATTGTTCAGCTCCAGGACGTTCCTACCGACGGGCATCTCATCCTCTTTGGTCAGTTCCTCCACGCCAGCCATCCACTTCACGTAGGGCATCGGAGCACCTACTGCCACGCACGTGAGGTTCACGCTCCCCCCAGGCATCACCTCGTGGTTGCTCGGAGGGATAGAGAATCGAGGAGCAACACGCCGCACTGAAACAAGGAGGAGACAGCTAGTAGGGTGACAGAACCAGCAGAGAGCACTCAGTTGCATTGCAGGGGTACGTGAGGGGGGTTCAACATTTCTGCCTGTCTATCCCTCGGGACAGATAAAATGAAGTGCAAAAGCTGTTCACTGCTTTGCCAAATTGCACACACTTTGCTCTCTTTCCTTAGCCACCGGCATCTTATTAGAAGAACTCATTAACGGATGGCTCAATCCATTCCCTCCAAACATAGGCTTTTGAAATCATATTACTAACATGAAACATTCCTCCATTTAAATTACATCCCGCTAATTAGAGAGCATGCACAAATGCCAGTCACACACTCCCTCTGTGCAGGGCCCACTGAAGCTCAGCAGAAGAGAATTACCTGCTCAATTTGCGAGCTCTAGAGTAGAGTAACTGGTCCCCTAAACCTCGCAGGGTTTGGGCAGGAGCACCAGAAAGGTTTCTTTCTGAATTAGCACACGTGTGCTGCTAAATAAAATATAATTCCTTTCAAAATGTAGCTCAGGTTCCACCTTGGCTCAGAAAAGAGAGTCACCAGAGCTGCATGACATTGTCAGGGCCTGAAGAGATCACCTTGCTGGGCAGGAGAGAACTAATCCTGACAGATGTGAGATCATATCCATTTTGACAGAAGAGAGCTGGGCTGGCAGAACCCTCCCCACCTTTGTGGCAGCACTTCAGGAGATGTATTCCTCCTTATTTCATTGCACAGCTTCTCTTCATATCAATCCCTTGCTGGGTATTTCATTCAAGACTTATTTGTAAGCAACTCTCAGCTACAATAAAGCTCTAAAGCTGCCTGCCATATGCATTCCCGTCAGGAAAATGACACTGAGAAACGAGGCCCCTTCTTCAGGGTTAGTGTTATGGGCCTATTTAAGCAAGGGTAGAGAAACAACTGTGCTCGGTAAATCTTTGTCTCCTCTGGGCAAGCTCATTTTAGTCTGTAGTTAAAAAGGGAAACTGCTCGAACGTGTCTCGCCCAGCAGCCCTGCTCTCCTCTGGCCGCCTTCAGCGGAAAGGCAGCCCCGGAGCAC